TTTATCAACCAGTAGCTGGTGCTTTGCTCCTCTGGTGTTACTACCAATTCCTTTCTGGTCGCTGCTCATGTATTGAGCCATGTGCCTGCTCATCTTAGCTGCTATGATGCCTGACAGGAGCTTCCATGTTGCGCAGAGGCAGGTTATTGGGCGGTAGTTGGATGGTACTGCTCCCTTCTGAGGGTCCTTCAGGATCAGTTAACCACTCAGGGTGGGTTCAATCCATTAGTAGCTGGTTCATTTGTCCCGCCAGGCACTCATGGAGTGAAGTTAGCTTCTTTAAGCAGTAGGCATGGGTCAGGGCCTGGTGCTTCATACTTGAGACCTGCTCTTGAATGTCTGCCATTGTGATGATTACTGGGTCTTGTGTAGGGAGGTTGCTGTGGTCTGCTCTTAGGTCCACCAGCCACTGGGCATTGTTGTTGTGTGATGCCTCCTTCTCCCATATGCTCTTCCAGAACTGTTCAGTCTCCAGCCTTGGTGGGTCTGCTCTCATGTTATTACCCTGCCACTGAGAGTACACCTTGGATGGCTCAGTGGAGAACATTCAGTTTATTCTCCTGGCTTCAACTTCTCAGGTGTATCTCTTCAACCGTGTGGCCAGGACTGTGAGCCTTTGCTTGGCAGTCTCTAAGGCAGTCACTGTATGGACAGTGAGTTGTATTTCTTAGGTACCCCTTTCTTCATCACGCCTTTCTGCAATTCTGATAGCTGGCAAACTTCTCTATGTGCTGTCTTGATCTTGGTCTCCAGCCTCCTTCTCCATGGAGGATACTGCTCCTTATGGCCTTTGTTGAAATTATAGCCAAGCATTTCAAGGATCAGTGATCAAGGATCACATCACCATGGTTGCTGGTCTCAGTGATGGTCATATAGGATTGTTCTTAGTGCTGCATTTACATCATCTAGTAGACTTTCAAAAGTCTGAGGTCAGGTGCTCTTGAATCAAGCTCATCCAGGCCTGGGCTTGGTACCCAATCTCCACTTGTGGGGGTGATGATGATGATATCCTGGCTCCCCATTGCTGGAGCATTCGTGTTGTACCTCAATAATCTCTAGTTGTGATAGCAGGTGCTTCTTGCGGATGTTATGCACTGAGCTACTAGTTGTTTTGATGTTAGTGTAGATGTTGTGTTTTGAAGTATCCATAGGTCCCATATCCTTCGTATATAACCCCTCTCACTGGGGTTACTTGTATAGTAGCATTCCAGTAGGTCCCTGTTCTCCTCTCTTGTCCATGAATGTCTTGTTCCAGTAGCTCACTTCTCATCAGGTTGCCCTGGTTCCCCAACACCTGACGTGGACCTTGTTGACCCGGGCGACGTCCGAGCCGATGTGACTCTTATTTTTCCAACTCATTACCAATGAGGTAGGCAGATAGCATTAAGGGCCTTGCCTAAGGGCCCAGGCGGTATATTGACCATGCCCTGACCGGGGTTCAAACCCCCGACCTTCCATACCAAAGTCAGCGGTCTTGTGATATCCTAAAGGTATGCAGTATAAAAGGAAGCAGGAGTCTAGTTATCTAGTGAGTTATTTGAAATGTTTGGTGGCTAGAGCAGCAGTTGTTTGCTAGCGCTAGTGACTGTTTCGTAACAGTTAGCCTGGGTAGATGAAGGGTGTGCGGGTGCAGACTAACAGGGAGGAGGTTGTGGGACACTGGAAACACACCGTTGAGCCTTCTCAGTGTCATGGGCCCAATTCAACAACACACCAGTTAGTGAGAAGGTGTCCGCCTGATGAACCAGTAGATTTGCCTTCACTCCTAGACCCACACAGGACTTGTATTGGTGTTGGTGATAATACATTTACAGACTCAATGAAATTGTTAATAGTCTTCTTTTGTTAGACAATCTTGGTAGAACAGTATCAATGGTTGGACAACTGAGCAGCCCTAGCTCTAGGATGTGACTGCCTACCAAGCCTGTTGGGCCAGTCACTGTTTAACCTGAGCAAATACAATGCAGATGCTGTGTGTCAGGCCACATATCTGCTCTTTGCTTGGGT